AGGTGTCGCGCCGATCCAACACGGATTGGCTCTGGCACCATCTCCAACAAGGATCCTTGGCAATCTGAATGTCTGCTACACGTGTCATCAACCAGGGCACATAGCCCGGGATTGCCCTCACCGGCCCCCGCAACAACGAGTTGGAGCCGCACCAGCAGCTGCAACACCAATCGCTAACGGGCCGGGGCGGGTAGGAGCATTGATGGAAGAAGCAGAGGGAAGCGGATCCACGTTAGCATCAATGGAGGAGGCTGTAGAGCTTATTCCCTTGGATTAGTATGTAACCCTGGGATATCCGGGACTTGGGATGATTGGTACGATTAGACCCGCCCCTAAACAACGAGAAGTGGCGGAGTGGCGACCTTCACCACGAGAGATGGAGTCGGGAGGACCCACCTTCGTAAAAGGGAAAATCGACGTTCTAAACATCGTACGAGCCTTAGATCATCGAATCCCCCTTCCGATCGGTCATTTGCTTTCGATATCAGAACAAGCCAACGAACGCATGTTGCAGCACTACAAAGCAAATCGGAAACGGTTTGCCCTTGCCCGAACAGCGAATACGAAAGCAAGAAGTCTGACACCCGAAGAGAACGCCCCGGGTGCTTCTGACCCCATACGGATAGGATTAATCCAAAAAGACGATCATTTCTTGCGGATTAAACCTATCCCATGGAAATCCGTGGAATGCGACATTGAGGTATGGGGAATTCCATATAACGCTATCATCGATTCAGGAGCCGCCGTGTTGGCTATTTCATTACATGTAGTAGAGAAAGCAGGGAGAAAGAACGATCTGATCATGCTCACAGAAAAAGATCAGCTCGTCTCAGCAGATGAAGAAAAAATCAAAACAGTGGGACGAATGACTAACGTTGCCTTCCGATTAAGGAATGCGTTGGGAGACATCGTAGTTCTAGATGTTAATACTTACGACGTACTTTTTAGCCTTCTTGCCTTGGTAGCACTGCGCGCCAATCTGGACTTTGAAAGACGATCGATAGTCCTCCGAAATACAGGTGGGCAACCTATGTTGTACCAATGAGATTGACCCTTCGTACTACCACTAACATAGCCCCACGAATTTCTCCCTCGATAACGAGAACACTTCGCGTGATTACCTGGGACAACGGGCAGACATCCAAGGACGCAGACAACAACGATGATGATGATGATGATCCCGCAATCCTGGACATGGTACAATAACGTATCCATTACCCCGTGCAACGGACAAATGCTAAAGCGTTGAGCCGGACCAACCAAGATTTGCAAAGAACACAGGCTAGGATTCTGGGAGAACCTCTCGTACAGATTTCAAGGATGGTCGATTCTTTTGAACCCCCTCGAACCTCGTACGAAGGGATCTCCCCTCTTCTCGTCCGATACACTGACAAAAGGCACTACTGTGATATCACGGATCTCCCGAAGTCTCAGTTGATACCCGCAAAGGAAATTCGATTGTTACGATTGGGGGCAGAGATCAACTCTTTGAAATCCCCTGAGCGCCTTGAGAACGGGGTCGGGATCAAGATCGCAACGAAACCTGTGTCGTGGCAAGACATTCGAGACGGGGTAACGCCGGAGGAACACATGGCCATTCGAGAACAAGATGCACAGATGATGGCCACGATGTTTTCCTGGCGATCGGATAAGTCATTCATCTTCGTGCCCCTCCCCGAAAATGTCAAGCGGGTGAATACAAAACACATTGATGTATGAATATGAGATGAGTTGTATGAGTTACACGTACCCCGATACGTACCTGACGAGATCCACCACCTAATCACAGACATTCTGAAAGAATACAAAGGAGCGATTAGTGTGACGGACACAGTTATTGGACTGTCATTAGTCATACAGTTGTATTACAGCACGAGATTCAGACGGGAAATCATTCCCTGATTCACTGCAAACCTTTCAGATACTCCCTGGTAGAACGGAAAAAGACTCTTGAGTGGATTCGGGAATTTGAAGCAAGTGGTTGGATGGAGCCAGCCACTTGACCATGGCCGTTTCCGTTAGTGTTAGTACCGAAAAAGAACGGATCGATCCGCATCTGCATTGATTATCGCAAACTGAATGACATCATGATAAAAAATGTGTATCCCCTCCCCCGGACTGATGATTTGCTGGATGCGATTGGGTGTGCTAATTACTTCAGTAGGTTTGATATTTGGCATGGCTTCCATCACATTGTGGTTAAGGAGGAAGATCGGTCGAAGACGGCCTTCGTATTGTTTGAAGGCACGTGGCAGTGGGTTCAATGTCCAATGGGGATTTGCAACGCGCCGGCCACGTTTCAACGAGCTATGAATGTGACGTTCTAGAACTTCGTCAACAAGACGTGGCTCACACAAGGGATGATCAACTTATGTGTCATCGTGTACATGGACGAGATCCTGGTCTATTCAGAGACCTATCAGAGCCATGCGCAGCATATCGAATGGACGTTGGGTGCTTTGAGAGATGCTCGGTTCAAGATTGCGCTCGAAAAGAGTGAATTTTTCCTTTCCGAAATTTCGTTCTTGGGCTACGTCGTGACACGTGGAGGACTGCGGCCTGACTCGTGAAAAGTCGCGGTCGTGAAGGAGGCTCTTGTTCCCACGTCACTGACGTAGGTTCGAGCCTTCCTGGGGCTAGCCTCGTACTATCGTCGTTTTATCAAAGGATTCGCCGAGATTGCACGACCCTTAACGAACCTGTTACGAAAGGACCAGCCCCTTAGTCGGGACGCAGAGTGCGAACATGCCTTCACGACCCTCAAGGACGAGCTAGCAATGACCTATTTTGATTCGGCTGGACCCTACGAAGAAGTTCATTCTCATCACGGACTGGCAGCCGGAGGCTATTTCCGCTATTTTAGCACAGAAGGGGAACGACGACCGCGAACACATCATCGAATATGCGTCACGGACGGTGCCGGACGAGCGGAAAAATGACTCAGCCCCACAGGGCAAATGCTACGCAGTAGTGTGGGGAATTCAACACTTTCATCCATACCTGTACGGACAGAAGTTCCTCCTTGTGACGGATCATGAACCCTTATTAGCGCTGAAGCAACTTACTAATTACACGGGCATCATTGGACGTTGGGCGGTGCGCCTACAAGCTTTGTAACTGTTTGAACGTCGTGAACGCGCGTTCACGTTCAAATGTGCGTTTGAACGTAGATTTAAATTCTCGTTCAAAATTGAACGGCGTTCAATTTTTTTTTAATTTTTTTTAAAATCATTTCGATGCCTAAAAATAACGTTTTTTTTCTGATTTCTTTTTTTTAAGTTTTGTATGATGTGAGGTACATACCTCTGAATTCTGGAGTCATTTTGCTAAGGAAAAATAAAAATAAAAATCGCCAAAGATGGCGGTGTCAAATCGTGTTCGCTCACTGATTTCAATTCTTTTTTTACTTTTTTCTTTTTTTTTTTGTTTTTTTGTTTTCCAATTTGGTAACGAATTAAGATGTAATGCTCGGGCAAATGTTGTTTATTTTATTTTTCTCCATAACTTTTTTTTTTTTCTGAATTTTTTGAGTTTTTTTAGTTTGTTTTTTTTTTGCCCCCCGTGCGGAATCGAACTTCGCGTTTGGTCCCGTTCATTGAACGCGCGTGCATTCCGTTCAGTTTTTGAACGGAAAACCTGCGTTCAATGAACGCGCGGTTTCACAGCCTACAAGAATACAATTTCGACATCATCCATCGAAAGTTGGAGAGGCACGGCAACGCGGACGGACTGACACGTCTGCATCGACCAGCTAAAGTGCCTAAGGCGGAAGAAATCATCCTGTGGAAGGAACCAAAATCGGCGAACAGACCCAAGTACGGACAAGTGGCAGTCCTTCCACATGGCAAGAGGCAGGCAGGTGGCCATGGGTGATGGAGGTAACCCTACAACTCCCCTCTCTCCCCTCTCCTCCTCATCTCTTCTCTCTGCCTGAAAACTTTTGTTATTTTTGCGAAGCAATTTCTCACGTATACTCGGTCTCTATGCGCCCAAGCGGGGAAGGATATGCGGAATGGGTAGATTGTCGACAGTGTGTCGCACGAGCCCATAGCTCGTGCATCCAATACTGAAATGACAGTAAGCCTTGGTCGCGCCCCTTGTGTCGGGTTGATAAGATCCCGACGGAGGCTCGATTTTTAGACGCCACATTAGAAGGGTTGGAAAAGACCCAGAAGCTTAGAAGGGCCGAGGTATGGACGGATATCGCTTTGATGGCCACCCTAGTGGGTAACCCCCTCCAAGACTTCACCAAGGAAGATCGGAGGAGGGCCAATGAAAGGGTTCGGGACTACCACTGGAATGAAGGACGGTTGGAAAAACGAAAAACCGATGGTAGTGGGATTTGGATGGTAGTGCCGCACCCGTTCATGACGTACGACTGGGTGAAGACAGCGCACGAGGAAACGACTGCCCATTTTGCCGTACGGATCACGGAGGCAGCAATCGACAAAAATGAGTGGTATTGGTCCAATATTCGTGACGATGTGAAATTCATCGTCGCGAACTGTCAGGTCTGCGCTGCTGACAAGGCACCGATTCAACCACCACGATCGATAGTACCAACTGTAGTTGAACGGCCTTTTCAAAGGGTTAGCATGGATACTACCGATATTGTGGTGCCCCCTGGACCCAATAGCTCTGAATATTCAATCCTACTCGTGTTCGTGGACCATTTTTCGAAATGGATCGAGGCATATCCCTGTCGTACGTGACAAGCGGCCGAAATTGCGCGATACGTCGATCGGTTTTTGGGGATGCATCAGGACACGGAGGAAATTCTGACCGATAACGGGATAGAATTCAGAGGAGAAGTCTTGAAGAATCTGGTCTTACATCGCGTCGCTATTCGGAATACCACAACCCATATGCCCCAATCTAATGGACTGGTATAAAATGCAAATAGGGTGATAAAGACTGCGCTACGACACAATATCGTTGCGTGGGACCCCACGCCCTGACCCGATATCGTAGACCACATCCTAGCGGTCCATCGCGGGACGCCCCACGAATCGACAGGCCTAAGCCCTTTTCAATTAAGGACCAGTAGCGTGGCCTGCGTTTCAATACCAAGCCTCCCGGACGAATCTTTGCTGAACCAACGGCCCACCAGTGCCACGATTCGAGACAAGGCCAAGCGACACATGGAATTGATGGAAAGGTCCCTGCCTCGATTAGCCCGGAAACGACAGAAAATGACCGAGTTGGCCCACGGCCGACAGGTCCGTAGTTACGAGGCCCGGAACGGGAATGCGGGTCCACGGCTCCAGTACAAATTAGGGGATTTGGTGCAGGTGAGGAAATGTGCACGCCAAGGTAAGATAGCGCCACGATTCTTCGAGCGATTCCGAGTGATCGAGCTTGGACCGAACGGAGTGAACACCGTGCGCCACGTGCCGGAGGTCTCGGGGAGCCGATCGACGTGACCGATTGTTCGCCGCGTGTCTTACCTACGTCCCCTCCCTTCCTCCCCATCTCCTGCATCTTCTTCCTCCTCCTTTGCTACGGAAGAAGACGACTACTCCCCATCGCTTTCTTCCTTTCCTGCATCTCTCGCCTTTTCCCATACTCCGTCCTCGCCACCATCGCCATGAGTTTTCTTATGGAGCGAGCTCTCGGCGATCATCTGCTAGCGCCACGAGGTTACAACTCAGCGATTCGGTAGGTTCATCATCCGCAATTCAATCTGGATCTTCTACGACTCGCGCAATTCTTCTGCACTTCGGGGGTATATGCAGCAGCCGAGTTCAGATTCGCGGGCAGTCACCAGGCGATTGTGCTGGCAGAGGCAGTAGCTGTCCATCGGCAGTCAGCTCCAGGAATCAGCCACGTGTCCACAGTTGTCGGCTTCAGCGGCGATATTAGCACGATCAACCCACTGCGGCATACAACTATCAGGACGTCAATGAGGGAGTGGGGACAACAATTGGCAGCGGATTGGAACCACTGGCTCACGCGCCACGGGGACAATCTTGTCCCTACAGACGACATCGATCTTGGTGGGATTCGAGTGTCCCAGCACAAGCCGGCGGCGGCGCTTCCAGAACTTATCCCCTTTCAACGACCCGATGAACCGCTCCCAACTCTCCACCTTCGCCCTTCCATCTTTCTTTCCCACCTTTCGGCAGTTTAGCCTTCACCCCCGCTTCTCTTGCTGTCTGGAGCCGCTCGCTGTTCCCCTCCTCAATCCAAGGCAGTGGAGGCTCTGGTGTGAACATTTCGTCGATCTTTCGGTGTACCTGGCCAGAGTGCGGCTGACGTGGACAAGGGACGAGGAACACCGCACTTGGAGTGAGTACCTGGAGTTGCTGATCATCCAGGCTTGGAGGACGGACGTGCAGGGTGATCTTCTCGGGTTCCTGTTCGGATCGGTGCGGCCAGGTCATCGCCAGCTAATCATGCAGGAGCTCATAGTTCCTCCCGCGCAGTTGGTCGATGATCTCTCCCTTGAGATCGTCTCGAGGAGCGACGAGAGACCGGTCCCTTATGTCCTCGCATGAACGCTGACGCCGTACCTCCAGTGGTCGGTGTGCTTGGAAGGGCCGGGAAGCAGCCGCAACCTGCCATCGCAAAGAGGCTATCTGGACCCGCGGGAAATCATCGATCTCGCCTTTTTCCAAGATCGAACCGCCTCTGAGGACGAGGAGTTGGCGATCGAAGAGGAAGAAGAAGAAGAAACCGTTGAGGAGGACGACGAGGAAGAAACCCCGGAGGAAGGCAGTTATAGTGAGCACAGCGAAGGGGAGCAGAGTGAGGCAGCAGAAGAAGAAGAAGAGGAGGAGCTAGAGTTAGAAGAATCAGAGTGGGAGATCTCGGCGGACGAGGCGGAACAAACGGACGCTCAGGCAGAGGACCCCGAGGTGGCGCGCAAAAGAGAGGAGATCGAGGGCGGAAAGCGACAGCTGGATTTCGCCAGTGGAACAAATCTGCAGATCGCCGATGATCCGACCCGAGATCCGGAGCCGCCCAAGCCCGAAGATGGAGACCCTGCGGCCGAGACTTAGACCGCACTGACCAGGCGGCGACGAAGTCGATCCCCCTTTCCCTCCACCTCCGACCATCCACCAGTTCGAGTCCGTACTGATGCGGGCCATCGGGCTTCGTCCCCGGTCATTATCCCGCCGTCCCCTTGACCATCTCACCCTCCGCCAAATCACCACCCGTGTCAACTTCCCCCGTAACCCCTTCCCTATCGATACCTTCCGTTTCTTCTACGCCACCCGCCTCGTTGTTACAGTTCACCCCCATCCCTCCACCTGGTGCGCCCTCCCCAACTTCTACCTTCACGCCCTTCTCCTTAGTGCCGCATGGCGAGGCCACAATATCGTTGAAGTCTATTGCATGATTACGGTGACTATCCCCGCATGCGAGAACTACGACCATTTTCGTGCGGCGGTCTTTCGGACCTTCACCACTTTGTATCTCGATTACCTTGCCTCCCTCCCCCATAGTGGTAATCGCTTCCCCCGTTTCCACCGGATTGTCCGATACCAGGAGCTTCCGGAAACGGTGGTGAGGGTGGACAGTTTCTTACCCCCGCTCCCAATTAACCCTCCCCCTCGCCATGCCCCCAAGTATCGTCTCCCCTTTCCCCTCCCCGGTGGACATTGATGATCGGTTAATTGGTGTGCGTGCCACGACGATGGCACAAATAACCCCCTCCTTGGATTAACGAGAGCCCTTCTGAGGAATTTGTAGGACAAAGCTTATATGCCACGTTGGATGACGTCCACACTCCTTTACACGGTAAGTGGCAACGTAGTAAGCTCCGCGTGTCGATCGATTAGAGAGATCGACACGTGTCAAAATTCAAGCAAGCAGGAGTTTGCTTAAGATTGGAACTTCCTGGGCGTCACATATGTGACGAACCGATTTTTGTTCCACACGACTTTCTGCGCGATAACAATGAGGGGTCCTAAGCTGGGAAGGATGGGCCAATTACGGGAGATCTGGATTGGAAGGATATTGTATCGGTGTCCTCGCTTCTTCGTCTTTTTGCATCGCTTCTTTTGGGATGGCTGGGTTCAGGGATGGACAAGTCCCAGGATGATTGATTGAGTGGTTGTCGTGCCGTCGAGCGCGACAATAATATTGGTTGACGACGTTCCTTTTCATTTTCTGTTGTTGGATTTTAGGCGCGGAGACCATGTGAGAATTTTTACTTCGTTCTTTTTTAATTTACTTTTTGAGCCCCGATGGCTCTCGGAATTTCGGACTTTGTTTTCATAAATTGTGCTTTTCGTTTTCCACATTAGATAGGATTTAGAAATTTTGCATTTATGATTTTCTTTTGTCGCGCGACGCTTTTTGCTTACGTGCTCTTTGTGTGGCTGCAACGGAACTTTGATTAGTCGGCGCTCGTAATCGTATATGTAACTGTAATTTTGGGCGGGCGTCATTGTAACTGTATCTTCCTTCTTGAACTTCGTCTTTTCCGCCCTCGCTTAGATAAAGTGTAAAAGCTAGTGAAATGTCGTGAGTGTCGCATCAAGTTCAACTTGGCAATGTACAATGTGTAAACCTTAAGTATGTTTGGGCAGGGAACATCAGATTTCGAAATGATTGAAATATAGAAACCTTGAAAGAATAGACTGACCTTATATGTGAGCTTGGAAGAAAAATAATTGTTCATATTTGACAGCAAAGTGCAGTGGACACTCCGAAAACACGTATAAAAATCCTGCTCGAAACTACAACAACACCGTTAAATGAAAACACGTGCAAAGTTCAATATTAAAAGCAATTTGAAAGCAGTGCAACCTATAAACTGTCAAAACACAAACCTCAGTTCGAATCCCATTGAACTCGGATTACCAAATAACACTACATTTACACAGAACAGGGCTATTCGAACTTAGATGATATCCCAAGGCCATCGACCGAGTAAGAGAAGAAAAATTAAATGCAAAGCACAAATGACACTCCGAAAGTAGGCAAAATAAGCCTAGTAACTAGATCGACTTAGGGGATAAACTAATGCGATCAAGATAACATTTCAGTCTATCCTTGTATAAGTTGTCCAATCTTCTACAATGATGGTATCATTTTGTCCGTCAAACGCGGGGTCCTTGTACTCTATATAACTTTCTATTACTTCATATTCGCGCAGCAGGAGACTTCGCAAATATTTGATGGTTGTGTCCACAAACCCATCCATGAGTGTTTTGAGCGACGATTGCTCCATGATCCTCCTTTGGAATTCTTCCCGTGTTCAATCGTCGATGTCATCTGCATTGGAAATATTTGCACTTGCAGAATAGTCGTTATGAATAAGGAAATATATTTTGCATTGATCTCAAACAGTTGCCGGTGCACAAAACAAGGTCATCACGTTGAAATTCTTGTGGCATAATTTGACTGCTGAATAATACAATTCCGAAAAGGGTGCGAGCACTTCTCGTGGGTATGTTCTCGTTCCACAACACCTGCGACTACAAATATACAGTGATTCTCGAGGATAATGTTCCCCGCCTTCCGATGGGGCATCCACACCTTTGACACTAAGTACTGTACTGTCAAAGATCACTTCGGATGTGAAGAACATAGGACCCATATCATGCCATATATTTCTTCCCCATACCATGTTACTTGGCGGCCATCCCGTCGTCACAAATGGTTTAACCATTCTGCAACACATAAAAATACAGTTTAAATATATATAAATAAAAGTTCAATGACAACTAAATAATGTACTAATACGTGTAAGAAATACGATCAACTTTTCTTCAAGACATATTTAAAGCCTATTGATCTTCATCATCGGGAAGGGAAAGGCATACCAAGGCCTTCTCTCTGACCGATTTAGGAATGTGCACTCCATTTTCCAAACGTAATGTTTTTGATGTCCAGCTCCGCACAACACAGTCTACATGCTGTTACTGCTGTGATGTTTGGTTGTCTTTCTTCCACGTCTTCTTTCATGCATTCGAATATTGCACAGAAAGACGTTTGGCAACAGGTTGTGGCACCCAATATTCAATAAGAATATGATTGAAAATTGGCGACTTCACATCGTTGTCTACATCGGAAATGACTCTACCCATCCATACGGGAACTCCCTCATCGATATCATCTTGGGAAGGACGTAAACGAATTGACCTTTTTTTACATCCACAACTGGGTTGAGCTTCGCTTTTAGACGCTAATTGGCTGGTCCAACGAACAATGACTCTTTATTCTCATTGCTCTTCAAGAGGAAGGCAATATCTATATCATCAAGATCATCCTTCTTAATTTTGTCATGTGAGGGCCAGAAACCAGCCTTGAGTGAAGTTTTTGGAAACCCGGACCCATAATTTTCCTCGACTGTCTCGAGGAAAGTTTTTCAGTGTGAAAGAGCACTCTCCTTTGAGAAGTTAACCGCATCTTTCATTCCCAACCACTCGTGCCGCTTGTTCTCCAACCATCCAACAAACGTCTTCACACCTTCAATTTCTGATTCGAAATCCGAATTCTTATCTTTAATAGGCAGAGCAGCTAACGACGGAACAGGTGATGGTCATTCGGGTCCAGTATATGTTTTGTTTCCATCTCGTTTAAAACAATAGACTGGAGCAGACCATTCAGGAGAAGTGCAATACTCTTTCCACTGGAACACAGGATTGTCATCCTGCATGTAAAACCTAAATGCATGTGGACGAGTATGACCGGTCAGTCTCTTGACCAGAAAGGACTTAACAACACCTCGCCAATCAGCAATTTCATCCATGAATGTGCACGACGGACGTTTTTTTTTAGAACTGGCAACGAGTTTGAAGAGGTCGAGTATGGTATAAGCATCGTCCATTTTCAGTTTGCAAGAGAAATGACTGAAAATGGTATCAACGTCCGTATGTGTGTGTCCCGCTAACATAAAACCGAATTCGACTTCTTTGAAGAAACCAAATTTCACCAAAGCTGCAGCAAGTGCCAAAATGTATCTATTTTTCTTTTCTCTCCAACAGTTGTCTGCTTGTATCCTCAGTTTAGGAGGCAAGTCGCTTGTCGCCTGGATGTCACGCAGAACTTTCATAATGGATGACACCACAACATTAGAATCGTGTGGATAGCAAGGGTATCATGTGTGAACATGGACCGATGGTGAGCGGCCGTGTGCAATAATAGTTGTTAAACTAGTTTTCAACATCGGAATATTTCTGAATGCCTTCGATTTGTTCTCTCCGCCAAAGTGTGGAATACTGGTCTTGCTTTGGTCCATGCCGTCAATGATGATGCATAAATTGTTCGAACCTGGTCTCTTCGACTCATCCTTCCACACCTCATACGCAACACGATGTTGGAGCTGCAAGTCCAAGTGTTTCTCACTTAGCGAAACAAAGTACTCACGCACACGTACGAACTTTGCTGAATTGATAAATTATTTGTATTCGACACATTTCTCGCATTTCGCAAAGTTTTTATCAATGTCATGGAATTTCATATGCCAGAACAGCGTTCTCCACATATTGTAGAAACTTGGAGAGAAACACAAGGAGCACCCATGTTGTCGAATTGCGACTTTAACAAATTATAAATATCAACCTTGTTATAGCAAGCAGACAATCTCAATACCACTCTCGATTCCCGCTCTTTGATCTTCATGTCATTGGGCATGGAATCTCCGTTGTCTTGCACGAAGGAGCTTAGTTTCCCGTACATCGTCGCATATGTTGCTGATGTGCGTCTAAGTCCAGTACTGCCATGCTCCGACATAATGTAGCCTTTTGACAAAGTCATCATTTTTTTGAGAAATGTATTCCTACATACACCTAGTGTGAAACACCAGGCACTAATGCACACCTTTCTTTTCCCCACAATAGGTTGAACAATCTCCTTCTCATCTTCTATAAAGGTGAACCTCTTCAACGTTTCAACCCACCATGGATCCCTGCTTTTCTGGTCCCTAGAGTAGTATGCGCTCCGGACAACTTTGATGTCTTCCAGGGTCATTTGACAGCAACACTCTCACGTACAACAAACTTCTCCACGCACACTCGCCAGTGCTTTTTTGGTGAGTTTTCTATGAACTGATTGCAAAATCTTCTTTGACCGTGGCATTCTGACATAAAAAGTATAAGGACGCTTCTCTGAGGACAGACGTTTCGGAAAAATGTCATCGAAATCAGAGATCACATCACAATTCTCATCGTCATTTCGACAACAGTGGTCAGTGTTCCGGTCAGCGTACATTTGCGGATGACCGATTTTATCTGGAGAACTATCAACGCTAGTCGACGCCGAAGCACTTGAATCTGAACCATCTTCATCACTCTCGCCAAACAGAAGACCTATGTACTCGAAATCTCAAAGTGAACTCCTCGGTACCCATATAACACGGTCTACATCGGATGTGTTGTTGTGAGCAGAGAAGGCCTTACCCTCCTGACCTTCCGCACTGTCTGCATCAGAGGTTCGAACCGGGCAGCGCAGGACCGGATACGCACTTTCACATGTAGTGTCCGCACACGCAATAATCCGTGACCTCTTATGAGCAAGAGATTCGGGAGTATTATTGACACGTTTGTGACCACTTTGAACATCTTGTGAACACATTGGCAGGTGCAGTGCAGGAATATCCTCATTGAGCATTGTATTAGATGCCACACATGCCATGCTTTCTAAGGTTATGTTGGAAGCCTGACGTGACATAGCATGCACACCACAAGCCATGTACGAAATGTGTCTGCAACAACAAAAAAGCGGAGCACTGTCAAAGGCTCAAATCAGAGGTTAATGAAAGGGAACAGATAACCAGCTCTACATAAACGACAGTGAGAAACACAACCCTATAAACTACTGTCACACCGAGAAACACAACCCTACACGGGACGGATGGGAACACGAAACATTCGAGCGGGGATAACACACGACCTTGGAATGTGAGCATCGAGATGAATCATTTACAAGGGCACAGAGATCGGGTTCGAAGCATAATGAATTGTTTATGGGTGAAGACTCAGCAGTCCAGTCATCGGGGCAATTTGTGTTTAAGGCGCAATACATGCAAAAGAGTTTGGCGAAGTCAGAGATCAAAGGAGAGTGGGAAACGTAGCACATGTAAAGTTGGGCACCAGTATCGGAAAGGCAGAGATCAGGACGCGCAAAACACAGTGTGTACCAGCAGTGAAAAGGTGGAGATCCTGACGTGCAAAAGGAAACGTTGCACATGTCACGTCGGGCACCAATATCGGGAAGGCAGAGATCACGACGCGCAAAACAAAGCGGGTACCAACAACGGAAAGGCGGAGATCCTGACGCACAAAACACAGCCTGACATGAGAGCATTGATAGGAAACATTAAGAACGACACAGGTTTGCAGAACACAGAACCGATGTTGTTCCAGGAACTTCAGCGACAGCACACGACATGACAATGACACGGTAATGTAGAAGGCGGTCGTGTTCGACGGTTGTTTCTGCCATGGGACGTGGCACCTGTATCGACGGTGGGATAGGTCGTATCTCCCGCGGTTGTATCGACGCTCGTTTCTTCCACGCTGGCATCAGTTGTCCGCGGTCTCGTGTTGTCGAACACGACAGTAAACAGTCCGTAGACAGCACGGCTCGTGCCGAACACGGCACACGCTGTGCTCGGCGCCGACAGCAGTCAATCCGCAGCGTCCGTTGTCGTATCTAATACGAAGTAGTGTTTTTCTTTCCTGGAACCCGGGAGTCGCAGCGCCGCTGTCATGGCGAACACTGTCTTTCGCGGCTCTGTCGTGTCAAACACAAACGTTGTGCCCTGCTCGACCCCACTCGGGGATCTCGTCATCGAGGACGGTTGTTTCTTCCCGGAACCTGCAGCGTACGTGCTGGACATGACGACGCTGTTGTCGGACACAACGACACCCGTATTGCACTCGATGATGACCATGTCGTCGACGACCGTGTCGGACAGGATGACGATCGTGTCGGACAGGACGACGACCGTGTCGACGACGACCATGTCGGATAGGACGACAATCGTGTCGGACACGACGACGACTGTGTTCGACATGAGCGTCGTCATGCCCGAGACGATCGTTGTCGTGTTCGACACGAGCGTCGTTGTGCCCGACACGACGACGATAGTGTTGGACACGACTACGATCGTGTCGAATACCTCAACGATTGTGTCCGACACGATGATGATCATGCTCGACAGGATGACGATCGTGTCCGACACCTCCGCGGTCGTGCTCGACACGAGGACGATCGTGTTCGACACGACGACGATTATGTTCGACACCACGGCGATCGCGTTCAACACGATGGCGATCACGTTCGACACAACGACGATCACGTTCGACATAACGACGATCGTGCTCGACACCACGACGACCGTGCTCGACACCACTACTTGCGCAAACAAACGCCATAAAGAACTGTTGGAGGAAATTTGTTGATGTCACCAATAAACTTACACAGCACAGGGCGGGCCACAAAGGTTTTTTTCTTTGTTTCGTCGGGGGGGGTTGGGGG